AGTCTCTCTTTTTTTCCCTTTCTTCCTTCCATCATTTTTAAAAATATTTTTTAAGTTTATTTATTTATTGTGTGAGAGGGAATGAGAGTGAGTGAGCAGGTCAGGGGCAGAGAGAGAGGGAGAGAGAGAAAATCCCAAGCAGGCTCCACGCAGTCAGCTCAAAAACCGATGCAGGGCTCGAACCCACAAACCATCAGATCATGACCTGAGTGGAAACCAAGATTTGGACGCTTAACCAACTGAGCTACCCAGGTGACCCTTCCATCATTTTTGATAGTCTCAATTATCTTATCAACTAATCTATCTAATTTTTTTTTTTTTACACTCTTCTGGAGCTCTTCCTTCTAGGTTATTCTATTTTTCTCTCTCTTCCAATCTTGACCAGTTATCTAAGTCTGCTACACAGTTGTCATCTCAGAAATGCCCTTTGCTGCTTTTTGGATTGGAGCCACCATGTCCCGATTACCTTACCTTACCAGACATTTAACTTACAATCTTCTTTTCCTGGAAAATATCCTTAAGTAACTTTCTAAGGAAGAATGTTTTAGGTAACTTTTTTCTGAAGAACATTTCTTGAAGTGTTTTTGTTTTGCCTTTACACAAAATCAATAGGTTTGCCTTGGGGTAAAATTTTGGGTCAGAAAACCTTTCCTCTCAGGTTTTTGAAAAAAAATTCATTAGCTGCCTCTTGCTTCTCTTTTCATAATGGTGTGTCTTTTTAGAGGTGGAATTGTTTCCTTTTAAAGTTGTTTAGAATCTTAGCCTTGTCACTTGAGGGATTTTATGGTATTTTAAACAATTTTTCTTCAGTTGAGCACTCAGTGGTCTTTTTGATCTGGGCACTTATGCCCTTACCTCTGGCAAATTTTGTCAAATTATTACATTGAAACTGCTTTATTCGGTTTCCTCTGTCCTCTTTTTTCCCCCTTGAAACTCCTGAGGATGAATCTTCTGAATCTATTCTCTGTCTTTTTTCTCTCATATGTTGTAACTGTTCTTTTGTTCTTTTTTTTTTTTTTTTTGGAGATTTCCTTTAGTTTATCTTCCAGCTCTTCTGTTGAATTTTTTATTTTAGCAATCATATTTTTAAGACCTTCTTATTCTTTGACTTTCTATTTTAATCCATTTTTATTTTGAGGATGCAATTTTTTTCTGAGGCTAAAAATAAGATTATTGTAGATTTTTTCCCCTGCAGCACTCTATCTGATTCATCAGTAGTCAACTTTTATCTACAGTTCTCCCTTAGTTTATATCTCTTTCGCTGGTCTAGTGTTTCGTTGGTTAGAACCACACTTGGATCTTTATCATCATGACTAAAAAAAGGATATCATTAGCTCTGAATTTCTTCTTTTGAGGAAGAAATCTCAAACAGTGGAGAGGGAGAACTTCTCTTTTCCAACTCCCTTATGTTTATTTCACATAAAGACTTTTCTCCCTCCTCCCATCCTCTTCTGCTTCTAGCCCTTATGCTGGGCCTCTTATTATTAAAATATTGAGTACCTTTCTTATGACTCCCCTTATTGGAAAGAACCACTTTGAAACACAATTAATCAAGGTCCTGTGATGCCAGAGACACAATGATGAGGAACAAATGTAAAAGAATATATAAAGAGTAGTGCTAACAACAACTTAGTGGAGAGTTTTTAGTAATTTGTCAAATTCCCCGGATTTATCTATCAAAATTAAAAGCAGGCCAAGGCACTAAAGTAGCAGAGAATATGGAGGGGGGCTGGGTGGCTCATAGTCTGTTACATCTGACTCTGATTTCAGCTCAGTCATGATCTTGCAGTTTTCGTGTGGTTTGAGCTCCAGCATTGGGCCTGTTACAGGCAGTGGGAGTTTTCAATGCTTGGGATTCTTCCCTTTCTTCCTCTCTCTCTGCCCCTTCACTATTCTGTCTCTCTCTCTCTCAAAAGAAATAAATAAAACTTAAAAAAAAAGCAGAATATGGGGTGCAGACTGCTTTCCTGTGAGAAATATTGCTTGGGTCATTTTTTTTTTTTTATTTTTTTTTCAACGTTTTTATTTATTTTTGGACAGAGAGAGACAGAGAGTATT